GCAGATCCGCATACGAGACTGACTGACAGATTATTAAATACGGTGTATATTTAAATATACAATTTATAAAAATATAAATCCACAAATAAAAATGATAACATAAATATAACTTTTTTATATTTATGTTATCATTTTTATTTGTGGATTTATATTTTTATAAATTGAATATTTAAATATACACCGTATTTAATAATCTGTCAGTCAGTCTCGTATGCGGATCTGCTAGTGTAGGTATTTGTATGTCCATACCTACACTAGCAGATCCGCATACGAGACTGACTGACAGATTAATACGTTGTATATGTAAATATTCAATTTATAAAAATATAAATCCACAAATAAAATTGATAACATAAATATAAAAAAGTAAAACTTTATAGTATGTATCTATTTCCACAATTGTACAAAAGCTATAAACGATCAAAATCTCTGCCTGGCAATTCTCACAATTTATATGCTGGATATATGTGCCCATATTAAAGCATTCATATTTATAAAATTGGCTTGTAATGTTTTGACCACGATGTTGACTTGTGACTTTATTTTCTCTTCCTCCCCCCGTCGTATAAAACCAATAAATATTCAGGGGGGCGTGCCTTTTTTAATTCACAAGGAAAGTGCTCATCCACGGAGAAGGCACGTGTTTCTACGGAGAAGTTGCATGTTTCTGCGGAGAAGAGGCGCCCCGTTCGGGCCACCGCATCGTGTTTCACAGAAATGCTACGCGTTTCCGCGGAAAAGCTGCGGTGTTTCCACAGAAAAGGTGCGTGTTTCCACGGAGAAGATGCGTGTTTCAACGGAGAAACTGCATATTTCTACGGAGAAAAGGCTTTCCGTGACAGAACAACTGCAATATTCCACGGAGAAGTTTGATTTCCATGGAATAACAACACATTTGTACGGAGAAGGTGCAAGTTTCTACGGAGAAGGGTTGGCCCGTATGGGCCACCGTACATTTCTGTCGACAAGCACATGCGCACATACGCATTTATCTCCCAAGAGTGTTTATTAGTTTTGAGGGGAGAAAATTAATTACACTGCAAGCCGAAAGCCGTTATCTTGTAATCTGAAGTATTGATATAGACAAAATGTCTATACTGACATTGATATCAATTAAGATATTGCCTTAAATTATTATATGCTGTAATTCATTTCCCATTATGTTGTCTAGAAGATTGATAAGACTTTGTTGTTGTATAGCTACAGGGTGAACACCAAACGTGATTGGCTTATTTGTGGGCACGTGACTTTAGATAAGTTCAATGTATGTTGCCCGCCTCGACCGGCTACGTACGTTTATAAACTAGGATTTTCCAAGATTGTGTTAAAATAAAGGATGTGAACGGGAAGAAAACTACATAACAGGCAACAGGATATGCTCCTGAAACCGTTTAAAGATGCCGTAAAGTCCGTAATGTAAACAAACGCTTTGTTTACATTTTGAACTTCTATAATGGACGACTTGCGCTTCAGACTAAATTTTAATCTAAGTAAGAACAACGAAATCTATCACCACAGCTAGAAAGAGCGTCTTGGAATTAATAATATTACAAAGTTTGGTTGCGAAATGTTGTAAAATACGGAACATATAGCCCTTCAAAGTTGGCAAATTTGTATACTTTTGTATTACGTGCGTGAATTGGTAACTGAAATTAGTTACCAATTTCCGCACGTAATAGAAATGTATACAAATTTGCCAACTTCGCAGGGCTATATTTTCCGTATTTTACAACATTTCGCAACCAAACTTTGCAGTTTTTCTAATTTTGATAACTTCTTTCCGAAAATATCCTTTGTTATTCCCAGATTAAAAATTTGTCTAAAGCGCAAGTCGTCCATTGTAAAAGATAATATACTAACTGAATATCTAACACTTTTCAGGTTCGCTATGCTTGTTAATGAATATAAACTCTACGTAGTCAATTCAAAAAAGTTCCAAAGATGCAAAATTTGGGCAATGTTTATATCTGCGGGTCCCCCTTTGTTATGAGCAGAACTGATGCGCAGAACGGGCTTTACAGCTGATCTTTAAGTAGGTTCTTTTAATTTTAAACTCGTTTGCACTATATTGTCATGAAATATAACAATCACACTTAATGTCTGTTCCCTCGGAAAAAGTTAGTTTTGTTTTCCATCGAATCTCAATGTTTCCCTCGACTTCGTCTCGGGAAACATTGAGACTCTCGGTAAAACAAAACAAACGATTTTCCTTGTGTATATTGGGTATATATTTCCAGCGCGCAGGCCTGGCTGTTAGAAAAGCATCTTTGCTCAAAATATCTTCGAATAATCTTCTTCACTTTTAGGCAGTTCAGAAAGCGTCTACGACAGATATTGCCTTTAACATATTGCTTTAAGTTTGACAAGATCTTATTGTTATTGAATGACATGACAATATGACAGAAATTATTCCAACCACTGCGCATGCTCGCAGTTGATCACGCCATCCGAAAGTGACGTCAGCTTTTTCAAAGGGTTCCATTCGGATGTGCGCAGCTGCACTGCACGGCGTTCTTAGGGCTTGTAAAAACGTATAAGATGCAAATCATTAATAAGTACATTCAAGATTCATGTTCCCACTGACCTGTCCAGACTTGTTCTGCCCTCTGTCAGTGAGCCACATGTGACAATAACCTTTGTTCTTTATTTTAATTTTTTTTTACTCGCGTAGGACTAGATTCTGCAACAGAAAAGAAAGAAGACAATATAATTAAAACGTTGGTTTTATTTCAGCCTTCTTGTTTGATCACACGTACAGTAATATACAACTTACATGTCAGACTAATTTTTAATCCAGGCAAAAAAAGTAAATTCCCGTAAATATAGCCTTGCGAAGTTTGCATATTTTGTATATGTTTGTATTACGTGCGCAAATTGTTACCATTTTTAAGCCGAAAATGTAACAATTTCCGCACGTAATACAAACATATACAAAATTTGCAAACTTTGCAAGACTATATTTTCCAAGCTATACAACATTTCGTAACCAAATTTGCAATTTTACTAATTTCATTGTGTTCTTTTTCGCTGTGGTGTTTGATTCCCTTCTCTTTACTTAGATATCTAACATGCATAATCTAACATGTGTGTGTGGGGGGGGGGGGTTGTCTGTCAACAAGATAACATAAAAAATATGAAACGAATTTGCTGTGTTTGGTGTAATGTACTCAGGTGAATAAGATGCTTGTGATGTTACTCTGAGTGTATATCCACACCGGGCAGGCTTGAAAAATATGCCTGGCCACGGTGGGAATCGAACCTACGACCTTTGGAATACTAGCCCAATGCTCTGCCAACTGAGCTACGCGGTCAGGTCGGTTCGAGTATGTGATATTTCGGAACTGAGTCTAGTTCCTTCGATATCAATGTAATCTAGTAATCATGATATTTTCTGTGTTGGTGTAATGTACTCAGGTGAATAAGATGCTTGTGATGTTACTCTGAGTGTATATCCACACCGGGCAGGCTTGAAAAATATGCCTGGCCACGGTGGGAATCGAACCTACGACCTTTGGAATGAAACGTATTAATACACAAAAAAATGTGGGATTAATAATGGACATTGCCCAATCACAAACTGATTAAAGTTTTGTTAAATATGGATGGAAATTCATGGATGACAAATTAGCAAAAGAGTGTCCTGTTTTTGGCGATTGTATTTTGTGTTTGGCGAAGTTCAGTATAGAAATGAATAAACAAATTTTACTGTTGCTACCCCAGCCGCCCACTGTTTCACAGAATCTCTTGGCAAGGTGTTGACATTGTGGTATTTCAGGAACAAAAAAAAGCATGGAATTTGATATTGACAAAAGCCAAGGAATGTGCGCAATAATAGAACACTGAGGAGGGTCAATAAGATTAGTCAATTACTGTTGACAGAACGACGTTCACTGCTAGTAATTGAAATCACGGTTAGTGAAGGAAATCAAGTGTTTGGTATGTGGCAATAGGCTACTTTTGATGCAAAAACGCGCTGTGCGGGCAATGCACCCCTTCGATTACGTCACACATACTTTCTGGTCCCGGAGCCTCGTTCTCATTAGTGAATTACGCAGGGTGATTGGCTCACGATTCATGAGAGTGAGGCTCCCAGGCCAAATGACGTAATTATCGAAAGGCATATTATCGTGCACATACATGTGCAAAATAGCTCTTTTCGCAGTTAACTTACTGGATATTTACCAAATAAATACGTTTTATACCGCTAAATTTATGTTTCTATACCATAACCCGATATTAGATTTAGATAGATTTACCATCTTCATTTAACACGATATTTATTTACTACGGGTAGTCAAATGCACATATTTAACACAAGACATGCGGCTGATTATCGAACTCACGCTTGCAGAACGAACATTTATTCTATTTCAAGACTGAGAACCAAAACTGTGGAATTCATTACGAAAAGATATTGTTAACCAAGACTCAAGAAACTCCTCGTTGTTTCAGGAACAGAATGCTTGATCTCGAGCTTTTATTATAATAATCATCTCGGCTACTAAGTTAAGCACACCTATATTTTAGTCCTATCCAATAATTTAACAAATAACAATAATTTTACTCAATATATAATCTCTATACATCATGAGCTGGCCTCCCTTGTACACGCCTGGTGGTTTCTGGAGGTCTCCTCGCCATTCCATACAATCATATTTTCTTCCTTTTGTATCTATTTTACTATTGTTTCTAATTGCATGTGTGTGCACATGGCAATTAAATAAAAAATTATTATTAATTTATATTATGTGACAGATTGATGTTTGTGGTGTAACTGGTGTTCCAGTGGCACTAGTGTGGATGCACACTCAGGCCCCGTTTACACTATACCGCGGATTGCATCGGAGCTTAGCGATTTTCATACCGGATTCGGCTGCTGTTTACACTACGCCACAGTAATCCGGTAAGCGACGCGGAGCAAAAATCACTCCGCTTTGGAGCGGATATGAAAAGTAATCCGGTATGTGCCGGAGCAGTGTAAACAGGCTAATCCGGTACGCTTCGGTACATAATCGGTTTTGGCGTGTATGTTTTAACATTGTCGCCTTTACTTGCTCGCTTTTACAATACTTTATAGCTGTTGTTTGTTTCGCCTTGCAACAATTTACTATTTCTGCCGAATACAAGTAAAGAAAACGATAATAACATTGACTTTTCGCTTTCGAAAGAGCAAAATTTAAAGAAATACTCTGAAATTTTGGATTAGAGCGAAACGAAGCAACGTCTGGTGGTCAAGCTTTTTAAACAAAGTTATACTTTCACAAAGAAAACGGGTGTTACTTCTTGTTTTTAATAAATTTTGGTATATTGGCTACTTGTTTCCATAGCGACAGTGAAAGACATGAGCTGGCAACAGAGCGAAGCGGCATAGTGTAAACACCAAACACCCTGGATTTTTTACTTCGGAGTAAAAATTAATCCGGTATGAAAAGTAATCCGGTATAGTGTAAACGGGGCCTCAGAGTACAAGCTGAGAAGCAAGGGTGGGTTGACTACAAAATTTTTGTAGTTTGCTATAACTACAGCTACTTCAAAAATATGTAGTCAGCTACAACTATTGCTACTTTTGAACAAAGGTAGTTCGCTACTGACTATAGCTACTGCTTAAAAAATGTAGCGAACTATTTCGCTATTTCGCTACGCCTACGCTATATTTTTTAGTTTTACTGTATTTGAGCATCTATACTAACTCAGACTGTAATGTAACCTATAACAAATAAACTTACGAGTAGCAACATTCATGGGCGTACCGGAAGGAAAAAATTAGGGGGGCGGCAAGAAAATTGCCCGACTTTTCGAGATTCTGCCCGACTTTTCGGGATTCTGCCCGACTAGGACCAAAAAAATTTTTCCGGAAAAATTATTTTGGCGACCTTCCCCCCCCCCGTCGCCAAAAAAATTTCGGTCAGTGTACCATTTTAGGGGTCAAAAAAATTTTCCGGACAAACAA